TTTCTGATTCATGGTTTTGCCGATCGGCGCGGGCCCTCGCACCCTCCCCCCCATGGCGTAGATGTTGGCTGTTCGGGGCGCCTGTTTCGAGCAGGTGGAGTCTTCCCCGTAGGACGCACTGCTGCAAACAGTCGCATTAAGCAGAGGTCCGGAGTCATACCCCCCCCTCCTCCCCACCCCTCCGCCCAATGTCGAAACGCCGAACGAACAGACGTTCACATGGGAGATGGAGGAGAGGAAGGAAACCCAGCAAGTACAGTGTGGAAGCGCATGCCAAGAAACACCCTGCGTGCCTCCAGGGTGCCCTGGTTTCTTGGGGGTGCGATGGTTATGGAAAGTGTGACGTTCCCACATCAAAAATACATGGACTTCCTGGGGTCTCAGGGTTGGGTTTCTTGTGGAAGGATTCTTGTGGTCGAGCTCCTACTGTATGGGTGGTGGAGGGGAAGACGGAAGCCCCGCGAGCACAGACAACCCGCATTGGAAGGAGGAGCAATTTTCCAAGGCTGCCCTTGCATCCTTCCCCGGAGCCAATCCTGGGCCGCTGTCGCTGGCCGCGCCCCGCTCGCAGAGTGTCAGCAGGGCCTTCTAAGGCCCTTGCGTCCTGATCGTGCGACCTCCTTACACGAGCTGACTGTCTGGAAAAGCATGGGGAACTTCGGTGGCAAAATTTTAAGAGCCTGATATACCATCTTAATTCCGTCTCCAGCGTCGCCTCGCGTGAATTAGCCTCTGGTGTCGATGAGATAGCGCCGGTTTAGCGTCGGCGATCCTCGATTCGCATCGATCTGGCGTCGATTCGCGTCGATAGCGTCGATGAGCGTCGATTCGCAGGAGCTGACCAGATGGTATGGGAGGCTCCCATGAGTTGCCACCGAAGGAAGCCGTGGAACTTGTGCCCGGGAGGAGGAGGAGGAGGAGGAGGAGGAGGAGGAGCCTTGCCGGACGGCCTTGTGCCTGGGGCCCCCTGAGCCCCTTGGCCCTCTCCTCTGCCCCTGGGACGCCTCGGTGCCCGAGGCGCCCTCCTGCGACCAGCTCTGCCAGCGCCACCGCGTCATCGAGCGCATCGGCTCCTGCGGTGGGGCCGGGGAGCACGACGGGGTGCCGCACGTGAGATCAGTCGGCCAAGGTCCTCTACAGGAGGAGTCATCCAAAGATAGGCAAAAATAGTATGAGGCCGATCCTTCTACGATTTGTTCATTACTACTTTGGGGTATTTCCTTGACCTCTTTCATGTTCTTCTTCCAAAACCCGCCTGTAGGCGCACGTGCCCGACTTAAGAGCGAGCGACCCGTCTCCGGAGTGACCACTGGTGCGGGCCCACAGGGGTCCGCCACGCGCAGAGGGGTGTGTGTGGGGGGGCCTCTTCGAAGCACCCCTGCTTCTTAGAGGGCGCGGGCCTGATCTATGGATGTAAGGCCGGCGCCTTTTAAGAAGCAGCCTCCTTCTAAGAAGCCCTCCCCCCTCCCTCCATTCAGTAGGGGACAAAAACACACAGACACAATGAATCGTCGATCCCCCGGAAGTATGGGAAAATATGGGAAGTGGGGGGAAGTCAACAAAAACCATGAAGCATGGGAAAATATACGGGGAATCCTGTCATTTGTGTGTTTTTATCTGTGTGTCCCAGGGCCCCTCCCTCCACGCCCTCGTGCGCGCCGCCAACCCACAGGGCCCCCCCCCGGCATCGGCCCGCCCGCCCGGGCACATTATGTTTTTCAATTAAAGTGCCCTTCCAGTGGTTCGCACTCTGGTTTTTTATCACGGAAATTTTTGGGTCTCAGAATTGGGTTGTTGGTCTCCGGTTTACAACGCAGCAGCTCCCGCCGGAGACTTCCTCACAATATGTTCCCGAATCGCGCTCTCGCGCGGGACTTCCTCACAGTTCATACAGGAATCGCGCTCTCGCGTGGGACTTCCTCGCAATTCGTTCAGACGCGGCGCCCTCGGCGGTCAGAAATCACGCTCGTGCTATGGATTTCTTACGATTGACTTGGGAATTGCGCCATCGCTCGAGACCTCCTCGCGATTCATGCAGGACGCACGCTTCAGCAACCCGCCTGCTCGACCTGGCCGCCTGGGCCTGCTTTCCCGACCCGCCTGTTAGGGTCTACCCGCCCGATCTGCCCGTCTGGTTCTTCTACGTGTTTTCTGTTCCTAGCCCCCTCTCCTGCTATTCTTTCTCGCGCGCCATACTCCTCCCTTCCTCTTCCATTCGTCCTCTCTTTCCCTGCCTTAGGGTTTGCATAAAATACACGTGGCAGGTAAGGAGGATCTACCCCCAAGGGGGTACGATCGAAGACGAAGAGGGCGTGTATCGAGGGTTTGTGAAATACGTGATGAGCGGCGCGCGAGTAGGAAAGGTCGAGCCGCCTTAACATCATTGGTGATGTAGTTGTTGTCGTCGAGTTTTCAATTTTAAAGAAAAAGTCGTGTTGATCCCCCCTTCGGTGCCTATTGTATTTTTCAAGCGAAGTGCCCCCTGTCAGGGCTCGCACCTTGATTTCATACAGGGGGAATCTTGGTGCTCAGATTATGTTGCTGTCCCCGAGCTTACAGCAGCGGCTCCCGTCTGATACTTCATCCAAATTGATTCAAAATCGCGCCCTCGCGCCAGATCTCTTCATAATGTTTGCAGGAATCGCACTCTCGCGTGGTCTCTCCCTGAATTGTATTGAGACGCCGTGCCCCCTCAGGAATCATGCTCTCGCTGTCGATTTCCTAACGATGTACTGGGGCATCGCGCTATCGCTGGAGACTTCCTCGCAATCCATGCAGAACTGACGCTTCTTCAGTGACCAGCCCGCTCGACCCCGCCGCCTGGGCCCGCCCACCCGACCCGCCCGTTAGGATCTGCCCGCCCGAACCGCCCGTCTGTCTCTGACGCTTACTTTTCTACTCCGAACTCCCTTCCTGATAACCTCAGTCATGCTCCATCCTTCTGTGTCCCCATTGTCCTTTCCCTCCTCCATTCTCCTATTCTTGTGGCTGCGCCAACTACACGAGGCAGGCAAAGAGGATAGACCCCCAAGATGGGTATGATCGAAGACGAAGCAGGCGGGTATCGAGGGATTGGGATACACATGTTGAGTGGCACGCGCGCAGATGAGAGCGAGCAGTCTTGGCATTGTTGTTGTAGCTGTTCTCCCCAGTCCCCCGTGCACCAACGGGGACGTTGCGAAGCCTCGAGCCTCGAGGCCCGAACCTCGGACAGGGCTGGGGGGGGGAGGGGGGAGGAGGAGGAGGAGGAGGAGGAGGAGGAGGAGGAGGAGGAGGAGGAGGAGGAGGAGGAGGAGGAGGAGGAGGAGTAGGACGACGAGGAGGAGGAGGCGCTCTAAACCTGCATCTCCCGCGCCTTTCTCGCGGAAGGTGCCGCCGCGATGCGGCAGCGGCAGCGCGGCACCTGCCGCGCGGAAGGTCCGGAAGGTGCAGGTCGAGCGGGCGAGATCGGGCGGGGCTGGGACGAGGATGGATCTGTTCCAGAGCGTCCGAGAACGCTCTCAGAGATCCTTGATTTATCCTCCCCCGAACTTTCAGGAGGGGAAAACAACAGACACAATTAATCGTCGATTCCCCCGAAAATGCGGGAAAATTTTGGAAGTGGGGGGGATGACGAAAACCGAGAACATCTAGGAAAATAGATTGGAAATCCTGTGACTTGTGTGTACTTCTTTGTGGGTCCCTGGGCACCCTCGAAATCATCCTCTTCCTGGCCTGTCTTACGCGAAGGCTGCGGAGGCGGCGCTCCCGGGGGCGCGCCGCGGCAGCAGGCGGGGACTTCTGCGATGGGCCCTTCGTGGAGACCAAGCGCTGCCAGGGGCTCGGCGGCCGAAAAGGGGGGGGGAGGAGAAGCAGTCGCGGCGCCCCGCCTTCGCCTCCTCCTCCTCCTCTTCCTCCTCCTCACGCCTCCTTCCTCCTTCCCCTCTTCCCTCCTCCCCCTCCTTGCCTCTGCTCTCCGCATGTCAACAATCTCGGCACACCCCTCACACGTTTCGTGGCCCCAGAGGGAGCTCCACCGAAGGACCTAGTGCCACCGCCCGCACGCGACAAGGGGGTGGTGCGATAGATCTGGTGCAATAGATTTGTGGGGTTGCAACACATCTACGCAGGGCATGCGATACACTCCGGGGCGCAGATGTCTTGCTGGACTCTCGCGTGCACTCGATTATTTGCAATGCAATGCAATGCAATGCAACACAAGTCTCCGGCGCAATGCATTTGCGATACAATTGCCCCAAATCTATTGCACGACCCCCTTTCAGCTGGACTTCCTTTTGGGTCACCCAGAAGTCCCATGGAAAGGCCCTTCTCGGCAGCATCAGCAAGCTCGCAGGGGAGCATACATCTCACCTCGGGCCCTCGACCGTTGGAGGACGGTGGCCTCGGCAACGACACTGGGCGGCAGGGTGTCCGACGGCGCCGCGTTGTCTTTTGTACCCCCCCGCTGAGGAACGCTTCGTCACCGGCGTTGTTCCTCCAGGCTTGAGGTCCCCGAGGACCCGCTTCCAGTCCGCGCCAGTGCTGCATTTGCTGCCTCAGGCTCGGCGCTGGCGCTCCTGTGCGCCCAGTAGGTGCATTGTCCCCAGCCCCCAAGCTTGCGATTACAAGGCCTCTGTCATGCCCTGTGGCCACTTGGGGCCATGGAGGGCCCACCGACATCACTGGCGTCATTTCCTGATTGCTCGGTGTTCGAGGCTCGGAATCCTACCATTGCTAGCGCTGGTTGGTGGTGCATTGTTGTGCGCCCAGATGGAGATCAAGTAGTTGCAAGTTTCACTGGGCCTGTGCTGGGCCCGCTGCAGTGAATCAGAACAACAGAACTGACGGCTGTTACACATATCTTGCGCTTTGCGCTACCGTCCCTTCGCGCATTTGATGGCTCTTTGTTCGTGCAACAACGGTTCCCATGAAAGAGGGCGCGAGAACACCGCGTTGCGCCTTCCATGCGCAGATCTGGAAGCAGTTTGAAAACTCCAGGATAATTGGGAAACAGGTTTTGTGCTGCGTGAGGTTCAGGGCCACGCGGCCCTGGTGATGTCGAGCGTGGTCGGGCTTCTCACAGGCAGCGTCTTGGCATCTTGCAGTGCCGCTGAGTTCTCGGGTCTCGACCTGCGCTTTCGGCAGCAGCCCAAGGCGAGAGGCCACGTAACTATTGACCAGCTGGGGGGGTTGCATCGAGAGGTTTGTGTGGTGGCTGGCTGACTGCGGGCATCCTGCCAATCCTCTCCGAGGCAACGCCCCGCCCGGCAGCCTGTTCTGGTTGATGACCCTGTGCCATCCGATATTGTCGGTCGTGTGCCGGGGGCTCCGAGGAAGCCGGGCGCGGTGCGGGAGCCAAGATGCACTCCCTTGTTTTGCGTCAGGTGCACGATCGTCCGCTCTTGGTTGGGTGTGCTCACTGTGCGTGGGTTGCTCGTCCGCGTCTCTCGAATCTGACTTCGCCTTGTTGCCGGCAGGTTGCGGACTGGGTGTGTCAAAATTGTCGCGACTGATTCTAAACTCGGTGTGAAGGTGTATCGATTTCAGAACAGTCCAAACTACAGGTCTAGTGCATAGCCCCAAGGTGGCTTCCGCTTGCTTGATTCGGTCATACCGCAGTCTGTGCCCAGGAGGAGGAGAAAGAAGGGGGAGGAGCAGGAGGAGGAGGAGGAGGAGGAGGAGGAGGAGGAGGAGGAGGAGGAGGAGGAGAGAGGAGGAGGAGGAGGAGGGAGGAGGAGGAGGAGGAGGAGGGAGGAGAGGAGAGGAGGAGAGGAGGAGGAGGAGGCGGAGGAGGAGGAGGAGGAGAAGGAGGAGGAGGAGGAGTGATGGGGGGGAAACAGAGGGAGAGGGAAGACGGAGAGAGGGGGGGAAAACTGTGGGATGAAGAGGAGAGCGCATGATGGGAAGGGAGAGGGCAGGCGGCGAGATGCGGAGGAGGTGGGAGGATGGCGTGAGCGCGGCGGGAGGAGGGGACGGGGAGGTCTCTTCCGCACCCGCCATCCGAGGCCCCCGCGACTGTGAGCAGCCGGACGACTGCGTGCTGGGAGACTGGTCGGAGTGGAGCGGCTCGTGCCACGCGGCGGAGGAGCAGCGGTCTCGCACCAGGGTCTGGCCGGGGAGAGCCCATGGGCAAGTCGGGCCTGTGCCTCTACAGGGGGAATATGCTAACTTAGTCCAAACATGGTCTGTGGGCGATGTTTGAGTATTTGTGCTTTCCTGCTTTAAGACACGTTTGGGGTATTTTCAATTGTTCATCCCAAATCCGCCTGTAGGGGGACGCGCCCGACCTGAGCCTGTGGGGCGTTGGCGTCGAAAGGGGGAGGGCCGAGACGTGCGCCGAGACCTGCACGGACTTTTCCAGCACGCGCTCCCTCGAAGTCCCGCCGGCCCGTTGTACAGGGTCGGTTTCTTATTCCGAGCCCTTGTTGGCGGTCCCGGGGTCCGGCGAGGGTCCCCAGAGGCTGAAAACGGCAGACGATTTCCCGCAGTGATGTTTGTGCACGACGCGAGCTTGCGCGTAGGGGGTGGAGGGAGCAGCGCCCTTCGACATCGTCGATGGCGGTGGCGGCGGTTGCGACGACCGACCGGCGCCCAGCGAGGTCGTGCAGCGCAGCGCTGCCTCGCAGGGCTCGACGGCGACGAAGACGAAGACGAGGACGACGGCCACGGCGGCGGCGGCGGCAGCGGCGGCAGCGACCGACCGGGGCCACGGCGAGGTCGTGGAGCGGAACGCCTCGCACGGCGGGAAGGCTTGCCGGGGCTCCCTGCTGGACACCAGGTCGTGCAGGAGTTCGGCGCCGCCGCCTGGGGGGAGGAGGAGTGGGAGGAGGAGGAGGAGGAGGAGGAGGAGGAGGAGGAGGAGGAGGAGGAGGAGGAGGAGGAGGAGGGAGGAGGGAGGAGGAGGAGGAGGAGGGGGGAGGTGGAGGAGGAGGAGGAGGAGGAGGAGGAGGAGGAGGAGGAGGAGGAGGAGGAGGAGGAGGAGGAGGAGGAGTCACATGGCATATCCTGGTGCCCTTCCAAGTGGGAGGTTTTTGGCCGTTTTCGGCCTCCATTGGTCCTCGCGGGGCCCCGGGCCTGTCAACAGAAGGCCCTGGGGCCTTGGGTAAAGGGTCGCGGTTTCCGGGGGCCCCGCACTGAAACAACTAGGGCATCATATGTCTGGGCTTGTCTGTCCTGTAAGTGGCGGTCTTTTCTGGAACGCGGAGTTCACGTGGATCCGCCGCGGATGTGGCGCGGAGTCGGCATGGTTTCGACGCGCATTCGACGAGAACAGCGACGCGATGTGACAGGCAAGGCCTCTGGAAATCCAACCTAAGATGAGGCAAGATTTGAGGCTACATGTTTTGTTGCCTTGCGCAGTTGGACCGTTTCGGCTTCATCAGCTCTCTGGAGGCTTAAGCAGGCCTCCAGGAAGAGGACGAGTGTGAATCAATGCTGTATCAACGATGTTCTAATACACCCTCTCGTTCCAAGCCCCTCCTTCAGAAGGCCCGAACATACTCGCATTGATGTTGCTAACTACGGGAAGCGCCCTGTTTTGTTTAGAATCGGGAGCCGTCCGCCAAAGCGTGCCCAGTTGTAGGATCATAATGCTCAAGGCTGCGCCAATCGAGAGTCTCGCTTTGAAAATGGGCCGCACTCCGCTTGTGTTGCTCGTGCTTTTTGAAGTCTGGCCGTGCAGGTCAAGAACGTATCAAGCTATCACCTACGCTCTCCATCATGGAGCTTTGGGATGCTCGTTGTGACGAATGTACCCGGCGCGGAGGCGATAGCCACATTGTGACAACAACCCGTTGCTCGTCCTTGCAGCGACTTGTTCAAAACGAATGTTCACGGCGCTACGGTACATCAGCATTTAGAAATCCAGTCACCCTCCGCCCGTGTAGCGGTCAAAAGCCTTTACACCGAATGAGCGCGGCTCCTTGGCGAGGGACACATTGTGTAAATCATGCGCTCTCCATCCATGTAGTTGTTGTGGCTTTAATCCTTCAGTTTCAAATTCGTTGGAAATACTCATGCGAACCGACTGGTCCGCCCTAATTTTAGACACGTCTGGTGGTGCGACTGGTGCGACGGGGGGGGAATATTTTTTGCAAGGGAGGGGGATGAACGAACAGGGGGAGGTGCCTCCTCCTTTACCCCAGTCTGGGTCTTCGACTGGCCGTCGTCGCTACTGCTGGGTCTGTTCCAAGATCTTGGTCAGAACCTGCTGCGGCACACGACAGGCTTCAGAAAGATCTTCGCCGTCGAGGGCCGAGGGCGCCGGAGCCGGCGCCTCTCCCCCCGCGGACGGCGGCGGGAGGGCGGCGGCAGCAGGGCGGAAGCGAGGTGAGGGCGGCTCCGCCGGCGGAAGGCTGGCGGAAGCTGGCGGAAGTGGAAAGGGGGGGGGAGGGGTGCTCGAGTGCGGGGCCATGGGTCCCGCGTGCGTGCTCACTCCTTTGGCCCTCTGCCTCGTTGTGCTTTGCATTTTCGAGGTTGCGCCGTGCATGCGGCTGGTTTTGAGACGGGCCCGACGCTAGACATCCAATTGATTTTTCTAGGGTGTTGCGCTGGTAAAAAAAAAGGAAGTGAAAGTCGGCCCCATTCAGGGGATGCGTGTTGTTTGGAGTCGGGGGTTCCAGAACCCACCGTGTCTCAGTAGCCTTTCCACGATCCCCGTCCCCATCCCCTATCCCCTTCGAGACCCCCGCCAAAATTACCACCCCAGTGGGGGATGCACCCCTCGAAACCCGCAGGGAACGACCCACATCCCCATCCAGGGGGGGTAAATCGGCCAGTGGGGCCCAGGCCACGCCGCTGGGGATGGGGATCGGTTACCACCCCACTTGGGGATACACCCTCGAAACCCGAAGGGAACGACTCACATCCCCATCTGGGGGGGGTAAAGCGGCCAGTGGGGCCCAGGCCACGCCGCTGGGGATGGGGATCGGTTAAACGATACTCAGTGTTCACCATGCGTCCGGGTGCCGACGTTTCGGGCGACGGGATGTGTACAGATTCACCGTCCCCTGGACGGGGCCCTGCCTGTGCCCAGGGGCTGTGTACACGCACGCCCTCCTTGCCAAGCCGGGAGGGCGTGGCGTGTACACTGCTGCTGGGTTCGGCGTGGGCCTGGCCAGGGAGCGGCGGATATTCCGGGGCGGGCACTCATGCATGACCACCGCCTGGAGGATCAAGCTTTGGGGGACCTCGGCAGGCGGTGGATATGGATAGATTTGGGCCCCTGGGGGCCAATATATATATATATATATATATATATATATATATATATATCGAGAGAGAGATATTTAGCCCCCAATATATATATATATATATACATATATATATATATATATCCATATCCATATCCATATCCATATCCATATCCATATCCATATCCATATCCACCGACCACTGGGGCAACCAGGACGTCGGCTCCCAGGCGGTGGATGTTGATAAGTCCCCGCCTCGCAGATATCGCCGCCCTCGATGCTGACAGTGGCGGGAGGGATGGGTGAGGCGCCTGCAGAGCGCGGGGCGCGGGGGAGCAGCGTGGCGAGAGCGGAGGGGCGCAGGGAGGAGTGCAGCGGGGGGCGAGTTCGGGAGAAGGCGGGGGGGGGGGCGGAAGGGGGAAGACGGGTGGGAGCGGGTGGGAGTGAAGCGTGCGAGAGGGGGCGAAGAGGAGAGGGGGCGGAAGAGAGGGAGGCGGCCACGCGCAGAGGGGGAAGCAGGCGGGGAAGGCTTCTCAGGTGCACCTCTGCTGCTTAGCGGGCGCGGGCTAGATATCTATAGACGTGAGGCCGGCTACTTTTCCAGGGGGGCTGGGAGAGCCTCTCCCCTGGCGCGGGATGCTGGGGGAGAGGGCGGGGTGGAGGGCAGGGTGGAGGGAGTGGAGGGAGTCGGGGCGGGGGGAGCGGAGGGCAGGGTGGAGGGAGCAAGGTCAGTTGGGAAAGGGGGTGGGGTGGCTCTGAGCGGCTGGCAGGAACGGCGGCAATTGGGAGGGACGACGTCGAGGGAAGGGCGGGTGGGAGAGGCAAGGGGGACAAGTGGCGCAGAAATTCAAGCCAGCACCGACCTTGCCCTGAATGTGTACAGCATGTTGGAAGTCAGTCCACAGGCCATCCGCGCAGTATCATTGTGCGCGTTAGGTGTCAAGCTGCAGAAATGGCACGTGCGGGAGGGCTTGGACTGGTGCTGACGTCGCGGCCCGGGACTGGCGCGGAACACCGCGGTCCGACATGCTCCTGAGGAGCGCATCTGCCACCGGTGCGCGCGGGAGGCAGCGTGAACAGCTTGCCCCGGCAGCGTGCCACATGGCCCGCCCAGCGGCGGGGAGCGCCGACTGCGAGCCGCGCCGCGCCCGGCCCGCCGCGGCGACGGGGGCGCGCCGCGCGCGAGCCGTGCCGCGCGCGCGCCGAGCCGCGCCGCAGGCGTCGTGCCACGCGCGCCCGCCCCACGCGGTGCCCTACGGTTGGTCTCGCGTGGCCTCTGGCCTCGTTGGCCCCTCGAGGGAGCGAGGCCTCGGCCCTCCGCGCCCCCGGGGGGTGCCGAGGCCCCGCTCCGGGGAGGCCCTCGCCCGCGAGGGGAGGAGGGCGCGGGCTCGCCCCCCACCGTGGCGGGGCGCTCGTGGAGAGGGCCTCCGCCCCCGAGGGAGCCTGCGACGCCGGCAGCCCTTTCTCCCACAGGAGCGCCCGCGGAGGGCACGCGCGCGCGGAGGCGGGGTGCGCGGCCGCCTCTGCCGGCGGAAGGGCTGGCGGAAAGAAGGGCAGCCCTCTGTCTCACGGCCCTCGGCCCATGCCGCCAGCGTGCCTCGGCCGCGGGTCTGAATGCCGAGATGGCCACTGAGACGCACACCGATACGTCGCTCAGAAGTTCAATCCCTCCTCCCGCTAGGCTTGCGTGTGCAGCAGTGTGCGTCGTGTGTGGGTCCATGAAGCCTGCTGGGTGTTCGGCGGGATCTCGTGGGGCCAGGACTGGGGACCGAGGACCGAGGTTCCAGTGAGCAGGCCAAGGGCCTGAGGACGCGCCCACTCCGTGCCGAGGGGGCACGGTGTCGGAGTGAGACCGTTTTTTTTCGGAACGGCCCATGTGGCATCAGGAAGATGGCGGAAGGACGCCTCGTGGCCGTCGCGTCGCGCGTGCCGCGCGGTGCCGGGCATGGCGCTCGCTCTGCGTGCGGCGCTCCGCGCGCGTGTTTTGCGCCACGTTCCGCGGAGGGTGGCGTCAGGGTGGCGTGTCCTCTTGCGGTTTGGTTGCGGCTGGTTGCCGGATGGTTTGCGATTGGTTTGTGGTTCGTTTCATCGTGCGCCGCGCGTCCGCGTGCTTGTGCCGCACGCGTGGAGCCTCGGCCTCGGGGTATAGAGTTGTCGAGCTCCTTCAGGACTGGACTCAGTGGATTTTGTCTTCTCGTCTTTGTTCTTCCTCCCGCCACGCCAGCCCCTGCCCAGCCTTCTTCCTCCCGCCTTTTCCTCAGGTGGAACGATAGGGGAGACCGTGTTGGGGGCCGAGCAGCGCCGATAGATCAGCGATAGAGCCTCGATGGCAAAACCGCATGGTTCTGGGCGGGGAGGGCTGTCGGATGCCTGTCGGCGATGAATGGGCGATTGTGTTTCGAAGGATTCCCCCTGAGTCTGTTCCCCCTAACGTTGCCGCTGAGATCATATTCCTGCCGTAGCCGCTGTGGCTCAAGCCATTGGCTACCAGCGCCTCGCTACATCATGAGCCACCGTGGTACAGGTGACGAAGAGATGCAGCGGGCCTTTGAGGCCGTGAAGGCGGCCAAGGCCGCGAAGGCCATGAAAGCCAGGCGCGGCATCAAGATGACCATGCAGGCGCAGGCGAGGGCGCTCACGCAGCACGCAGCCTCCCGCAGCCCTGACGACCAGCACAGTGGACAGAAAGCGTCTGGGCGACAGGGCGACGCTGCGAGCGGCGACGCTGCTGGCAACAAGGACCCATAGCAGCAGTGAGTGCCCTGCTGTAGGTTGGCCGCCGTCTGTGCTCCCCTCTGTCGCCAGCTGTTGCCGTGAGTGCTTTCCCTCTTCATCTTGCACTTCCTCCTTGTTTGGCAGTTTGGGGGCTTATATCCCGCGGTAGGCAGGGTCATCCTGGAGGGAGGGTGGGTGCTGACCGCCTTCGCTGCCCGGCGCAATTCCACCATGGAGCACGCAAATTAGACACGCCGCCAGACCTACGTGAATGACTACAGGTTAGGTTATGGGCGGGTGGGGGGACGGGGACCCGGTCAACGGCGCCATCCCTGCTTGGCACAACACCCGCACTCTCAACGACTGATTCTCTGAAGGGCTGCGCCCTCTGCCGTCGACCCTCCAGGCTGAGCCATGCACTAGCTATACACAGTCGTGGCGAAAATTCCCGTCGCTCCAGCAACGATTGCGATTCGGCGAAGTGGGTGGAGCAGTGCTTGCTCCGCGTGAAGGTGCATCCCGCGCGGTGATTTATACGTCTTGGCGTTCAGTAGTTTCTGTTACGGCTGAACCGCAACGGAACAACCATAACACGTGGAACCGACTTTATTCCGCCGACCGCCAGCAGCCTGATGTTATTTCAGGAACGGGATGGTAAGTTTATCGATCATAGAAAACTGAGGAGGCATTCGCCCCGGCGGTGTATCAGAGCAGATCGGGGGGGAATGCATCATTAGTTCTCTTGGAAGCATCTTTGGTCCTCTGTGCCATGCTTTTGTTTTTGGTAGTATTGGTGGTATCATGAGGCCTCTGGGGCTCATCTTGAGGCCATCTTGGCGCCATCTTGGGACCTGATTGGGCCATCCTATGCGATTTTGCCCGCGCAGCGTTTCACCCTCGATTTCGCGTCGCTGCTTGAGACCATATTTCTGCCCACGCGCCAGACGGCGTATGGCTTGGGAGTGAGTGAGTTTTGGTTTTGGTGGCCGTCCTGGGCAATCTCGGGGGCTCCAGAGCAAGTTTGAAGCGTCTCGGACCTCGCGGGGCCGAAAGCCTTGGACAGGCAAAGCTCACTGAAGCAATACAGTCGAGGTTGACTGGTAGTTCCCCCCTGCTCAAGCAAGGGTACCCTTTGTGTCCTGTGCTTTCACGACCCATGCCGTCTTCATGCCTATGGCAATGTGCCCCTCGGACGGGTCTTGCACACTCTCTTTCTTGCGCAGGCCAGAGGGCGCGCGGGTGCGCCCGTAGCGTCATGCGCCCGCGGCGGGCCGCGGGCAAGCGAGGCGAGCACACCGTCAAACAGACCGCAAGATTCAAGAGAGACGGAAGGGAGGCACACGGCAAGATGACATGAGCATGGGTCGCACGATGGTGGACAGGGAGTCGGGCGAGGTTGTGTCCTCTCGGGTGTCCTCTCCAGTCGACCCCGACTGCAGTGGTTTGTGCGCTCAGGGGCGTCTTGAGGCTCTCTCCGGCCCCTTTGGCGCCTCCTGCGGCCGCTTTCGCGGCCGCGTGCGCCCTCCTGGCCATGCGATGGCGTCCCTCTATGATGAAGTCGGGCATGCCCCTCGACAGGCGGAATGTTAAAGGATAGTCTGAACGTAGTCTGGGGACGATTTTTCGACTTGACCAGTCTCCGTGCTTCTTCCAGAATCCGCCTGTAGGAGGACATGCCCGGCCTAACTCTATGAGACTCCTGCCGCAATCCAAAGGGCAGCCCGAGATTGTTCAAGGCCTTCAGAGGGCCAGTTTCGGGCCTGCGCGAGCTGAGCACTGCGCTTCCGACGCGCAGACCTGGTCCAAAAAGGAAACGAGCGGGCATGAAATGGAAGTGCCACCGTTTTTTTGTTTGCCTGTTTGTTTGCCGTGCGGCCCTCCCCCATCAGACAGTAAAATGGAGACTGGACCGGAGAGGCAGGCGACAGAAAAGACGTCTCAGAGAACACAACACAACAGTACAGCAGGATCCTCCTCGGCAGCCCTGCGATCCCTTGAGCACAACAGGTGATCGGAATCGGTTGTCGCTGGTTGTGGGTCCTGCCGCTGTAGCGGGGAGAGGGAGGAGGAGGCAAGGGGAAGGGGGAGCGGGGGGGGGGAGGTGGCAGGGAAGTAGGAGAGCCCCTTCGACGCCGACTTTTCCTTGACGTGGCCCCCATGGGGATTTCGACCCCTTCCCCAGGGCTGCCTTTGGTGGGCTTGGAGGGCGGCGGTCGCTGTTTTTGTCTGCGACGCCTGCGTTCGGGGGAGGTCGGGGCGGCGACGGTGGGCCAACGGGGACGCCCGAGGGCAGGCTGAGGAAGGGGAGTTGGCGTCCGGTGGCCACTGTTGGTGGAGCCCCTCCCGGGGCGGCCGGGGACAGGCCGCGGAAGGGGATGGCACCAGGCACGAGGACGGGGGAGGCAAATGCCTGGGCGCTCGGTAGCGGGGGGGCAGTCGTCAAGTCACGAGCTGGCAGCTGGCACCCGGAGGGTCTGCGAGTCCAGGGTGGGCTTCCGTGGGGGCTATGGGCGTGTATTGTCGCATGGGGGCCCCCGCTCGAACGGGAGCCCCCCTCGGGGTCCGACAACCCGCTCCCGTTCCCACATGAGCGCCTGCATCTGTCTGCCCTCCCCCATTCCTCCTCCCTCCAGGTTTGCGCGTGTCGTTCTTGCATCCGCAGTGGTGGTGGGGGGGGATCGAGGACTGCACGAACGTGGCCCTGGGCCTTCCAACTGCCGTCGCAAGCCCACAGAGGTGCTTGCAAGCTGCGCGTTCCTTTGCCCTCCGTTCGTTCACGACCGCCAGAGGCGGGCGGAGGCCAGGCCCCCATCGCGCCGCGGCAACAGAAGTACGACGCAAGGTTTTCGTCGTCGTCGTCGTCGTCGCCGTCGTCCTCGTCCTCACTCGGGCCCTCTCGGGCCCTTGCCCCAGGTGTGCCAGGCAGCGGCCCGCGGTGAACCCAGGGCCCCCCCCCCCCGCACACGGTGTGATGACCACTCGGGCGGGTGGCACTGGGGGGTGACCCAAATTTGGGGGTGAAGAGAAGGATTCCTTGAGGGCCCAGTCGCTCAGTTTAGAGCCAGGTTTGGCTTTCAGAGCCATTTTGGCGAAGGGTCAGACCTGGCTCAAGAGGTCTTCTCCGATCGGCCCAGAAGCAAACTCCGGTAGGACAGGACCAGGGCCCCGTGGAGCCAGGTGGTGCCCCCCCCAAACCAAAGAGGGGCCCTAAAGGGCCCCTGTAGGGCCTTCTTTTTCTCTTCACCCCCCGATTGGGTCACCCCCCATCACCGCCCGCCCGAACCACACCGCGTGGTGAGCGGGTGGGGATGTTTTGGGGCTCGGGTCGCTCTCCGAACACGTCTCGGGCGACCGGGGCTTCCGAGGGCCGTGCGATGGCGGGCCGCGCGGTTGGGCGGTTGGGGATCTGGGGTTGCCTGCGTGGTCTATCGCTACGCGGTTTTGGGATCCCCATGGCGGGTCCCGGGGAAGAGGTCCCGGGCATTGGGTGTCCGCGCCACGGGGCGTCGGGGATGTGGGGAGAGGACTCGCAGGATATTGCTTGGATGCTGTTCGTTTGATCAGCTGCACTACATGCGCGAGGACACAGACGACGAAAGGGGGCCTCCTCCATCCCTATAGGCCCACGCAGGGCGATGCGGGGCGGCATCACGGGAGCTCTGCTGGAGATGGGTGCGCACTTGAGTTCTCTGTCCCGTGGCTGGTCTTGCCAGCCTTGCACACGCTGCCATTCTCGCGCACAAGCGAACTTCTTCAAGCAGTGGCGAAGCGTCGTGGCGTGCCTATAGGCCTAGCAAGCCATGTCCTAAGAAGCTTTTAGGGTTCCTACCAACGGAAGGTCGGTCCCTGCTCATCAAGCCCCAGCATGGCAACTGATGCGTGTTGGGGGGGGAGACCAGGCGCTCTGGAGTAGGTGTTTCGTGCAGGGCGGGGGAGAGGCCTCTGCACGAGCCGCGCCTCTCCAGAAGGCTTGCCCGGGAGGCCCGCTCGCACACACTCCGATAGCCCGCTCGGCGAGGAGCAGCCCTCCCAGCAGGTGACGCCACCCCCCCCAGTAACATCTCGGCGGCGCGCCCACCGGGGGGAATCGTGTGGGAGAAGGCCTTCTCAGAAGGTGGCGGGGCTCCTCAGACATTCCCCGGCCTTCTAAGAAGTTTTCGGAGGCTTCGGGGGATGCTTTGAACACGTCTCAGAAGGCACGGGGCCTTCCGAGCCTTCTGAGAAGGCCCGTCCCTCTGACTTCCCCCCACAGGCTCGCTGCCAACCGTAGGTAGGTCAAAGAGCACCTCAAGACACCCACGCTGACTCGACGGGTCGCCATCTGGGCCGACCTGCGTGGGGACATGTCCATTCCTCACTTCTGCTCCAGTGCGCCCAGCTCTGGCAAGTTCCCCCTTGGGTATGTCATACAGCCCCGGCCGCCCTGTCCCATCCGTTTCAGGTTCTCTCTGGTTCGCGCAGTTTTTTTCCAGCCCTGACTTAGATCCACCCCCCATCGCTTCAAGACAAGCATTGGCCACTTCAGTTTCTCCGGAAGTTCCATCTTAACCCTCTCTCTCTCTCTGGCTTCCCTGTCAGGCTCCCACATGCTCGGTGCTTCTCGCTGACGGTCGCCACTGCAGAGCCATGCCCTTTTTCAAGCCGCTGCGCTCCGAGACTCCCTACGTCGTGACCTCCTCTCTACTTTCTCCCCCCGGAGGTCCCGCCCCCTCCTCCGGGACCCGAAACGCGGAGCACGTGCTCCTGCCAGACCCACGGCGCCCGCTCGCGGGGCACCTCCGCCACGCTCTCGGCGAGGCGCAGCTGCTGGAGCGTATCCCTCGAGGCTGGCAAGCCCGGGGGCGGCCTGCGAGCCCTACCCCTACCTCCCCCGATTTCTGAGGGGGGGGGTTGGGGTTCAGTTCGCTCGGGAGCTCCCGAACGAAGTGAACCCCACCCTCCCCTCAGACATCGTGGGGGGCGGGGGTCGGGTTCGCATGTGGCCCCCTATAGGAGGGCGAGGACCTGGGAGCTAACCTGGGAGCCGACGGAAGCCGCCGAGGGGCAGGGAGATCTAGGCCTCCCAGGTGGCGTCGGAACAGATGGGGTCGGAGGATAGCGCCACATCGCCGATGCATCGGCCATGCGGCTCGGCGTGGAGCCGATTTTCTTCACGCCAGCATCGCGGATGCACCGCCGACGTCGCCGATGCATCACCGATGCATCGGCGATGCGGCGCAGTCCTCCGACCCCATCTACCCGGGCCCCATCTAGGAGGCCTCTAGGAAAGCCCCCCAAAATATTTCGCCTCGTGCTCTTGCTCACGGCGCGCTGGGAGTCTGCCTTGGCCAGCCGCGGCAGCGGCGGCCGATCGGCCGGAGCGGTATATGCCCGAGTGCCGGCCAGAGCGGTGCGCCTGTGGGACGGCTTCGCCGCGCTGGGCGTCCTTTTGGACGGCTACCACTGCGGCGAACTTCGGAAAGACCGACAGCAAATCCCGTTCATTGTGACCCAGACTAGCTGTCCGTGTCGCCGCCGACTGTGTTCGCTTGAGGCAGAAAGCCGTCTGCACAACAGCGGCCGCTTGTTAGTTCGGGGCAGCATGTGTCATAGAGCATTGTCACCATAGGTTTTCCATACCCGCTTCAGGGGCCTCGAAATGTCTGAGGTGCCCCAGCGCTGGGCCATGCCAGCAAGAAGGGGTGGGGGGTCGAGGCTCTGGGCTCGAGGAATGTTGTTTGTCCCCTTTGCCTTTTTTTCTCTCTCTCTCTGGGGGCCGTCTTCGGGCTCTGGGGCCGTCAAGCACGGATCGGGGGTGGACCTCTGCACCAGATGCGGGGGAGCACTGACTTTGAGCGGAGCTGCCCGTATCCTCCCGTCTGGACCGGCTCTCTCGGGGCCCGTGCAGCTCTCGGACCCCCTGGCCGCCGC